CAGTAGTTTTATCGAAAAAAATACATTGTTCCCGAAAACTCTTGAAGAAAATACTTTTGCTTCAGACATTTACATTTACTATTACTATATTGTTGCAAGAAAATATTTGGGTTTTTAAGCTGTAGCCTCCATTCAAAATCGCAACAAATGTTTGCCAAACACATTTTGTATCATATATACATCCATTATGGACATGTGTAGATAAAAGGTCTGTTCAACTTGCACACAGCTCTAGTAACTTTAAGTGCTGATCCCCCTTCTTCCGTTATCAAATTTCAATCTGTCATGTGTACAAATGAAATCTTACATTCATTTGTTGTCAATCAATATATGTATATTTTTTTCTTTAAAATGTTTTTGGTTTGCATCCTTAGCGTGAAGACAATTCCTGATAAACCAAAACATGTAAAAGTATAGCAATGCCCTGAATGTTGTATAACTAATACTTCACACCAAACACAGAATTTAGGTCTATGTCAATGGCATAAAAAGCTTTAAACTTTTTGTGATGAAATTTATTTGGGTATTTACTATTTATGCCATTACTGTGGGTCAGTCACATCGTGTTTTGAACCCTTATGTAACTAGTAGATATAACTAGTAGATATAATAGCAAGTACTGGTACCGTTCACAAAAAAATATGTGAATATGTTTTTTTGTTTTTTCTTATAATCTCACCAGGACCAAAGGCCAAGTTAAGCACACAATTATGTGATGACTTTCACCTTTCTTCTCTGAACAAACTGGCAATATGAACATAAAACTTAAGGATAATGATTAGCATCATAATAGAACTAATAACCGTTCATTGAAATACAGACATCAATATTTACGGAGCGGAAACACTCTGGGTTCATAGTGGTAAGTTGCATATCAGAATGACGTACACTTGCAGCACCTCGATTACAAGGCGGACAGACGCCGGGCCAACATGACGAATGCCACTTGACACTACTACGACAGGGGGCGGTCGGGTAGCCTAGTGGTTAAAGCGTTCGCTCGTCACGCCGAAGACCCGGGTTCGATTCCCGACATGGGTACAATGTGTAAAGCCCATTTCTGATGTCCCCCGCCGTGATATTGCTGGAATATTGCTAAAAGCGACGTAAAACAATACCCCCCCACCCACTCACTCACTAACTACCACGACAGCAGGATCCCGTTTAACAAAACCATCTCAGCGCGAAGGTGATCGTAACTCCCTTACATTAAAGTAGGCTAAGCTGGCTCTGTGGAAAGAAATCCAGGAAAGACGTATTTCTTGGGTGACATGATGCTGGCATATCGCGTGTGTAGGATCCTTGTTTGTTCTCCTTTAATCTAGCAGAAATGACATGTTTATTATAGGCATGGATCAATATTTAGAGCTGAGAAACACTGTTTGTTTGAATTCGTTGACCTTATTTTACTCATATGACAGATTGAATGTCAAACTTCATTTGATTTACTTCCATTGAAACAATACATCTTGTCCAAAAAGGTTAATTAAATCAGGTATTTATGGTATAGCTATTAAAATTCGTTGGTAAGCGTTACGTCGAACATGCGCTTCACTGAATGATGACGGACACCCTATAAGTAGTATTGGCATAATGCTATTTGAATTATGAGATGCTATATACGTTGCCTGGCTAAAGAAAGGATACACCCATGTTTGATGGAGGATAAAATAAAACAAACAAGAAATGGTTATTCGATGGTCATGTATTTGATTCGGGTGTCATGGTTGTGTTGTGTAACTTCAGTCTGCAGTGTTTCGGCGTCTGTTTTCAACCTCGTAATGGTTTGATAACGTTTGGTCAAATCCAAATGTGAAGAGCATATTTCTATCTGACAGGTTAGTTAGGTTTCAAAACATAAGTTACATATATACAGTTTATTATTTTACAGGCTGGGCGGTTATTTACAGGCCGCGACCGCCTCAGTGGTCTAGTGGGAGAGCGTCCCCCTGGAGGAAAGGTCAGGGTCGGGGTCGGGAGTCGCGGGTCGGGGGTCGGGGGTCGGGAGTCGCGGGTCGGGGGTCGGGGTCGGGGTCGGGAGTCGCGGGTCGGGGGTCGGGGGTCGGGGTCGGGGTCGGGGTCGGGGTCGGGGTCGGGAGTCGGGGGTCGGGAGTCGGGAGTCGGGGGTCGTGGGTCGGGGGCCACGTCATACCAAAAGACAAATACCCCGGAAGTTAGGCGTATAGACCAGCCATGTGCTTTACATATATGATGAAACAATTTATCTTACGAAAAAACATTTATTATGGTCTTTCAATGTTCACTGTATATTTACAATGTTTACAAACAGACTTGATACGCCGTACCCTGTGATTGTTTTCATTATCTAAATGAAACTAAATGTCAAACAACAAGTCTCAAAGTCAATTTCTATGTTTGTCGGAATTATACCCGTGTTCGTGGGTTTCAAAGTGGTAACCGTGTGAGACCTGCTTTCCTCCCACATTAAGCTGACACGACGTGGTATAACTGGAATATTGTTCAAAACGGCGTTCAACCCAACTCATTCGTGTAATAGTCTCTATTTATCTGACTTTGACAATAGAAGCTTCCACACTGATTTAGAGTGAGGCATTGCTGTGTGTGTTATTAGACACATCTTAACTGGCCTTGTATCTATTTCAGTATTTTGTCAATGTACAACCTTTGATGATTAGTTCACTTTCCTTGTGCAATCTCCAATTCTCTGGTTTTGACATGTTGAATTGATTGCCCAGTTGTTCTGAGTCTGGTTTATTGATTTGTCTCATGGAATAATTAACAGGCATGTGCTGTTTATTTCATTTTAGTGTCCATAAATGTCTCCTAAGAGGACCATTCTCCGGTTTTCATAAACAATCATTTTCAGAAATGCCCTACACAATATATTTGTTTAGCGTGGAAATGGATGTTTATGTTCTAATTGACCCGTGAAGATTCCGAGTTAGAATAGGTCTTCAGCAACCCATGCTTGCCGTAAAAGGTGACTCTGCTAGTCGTAAAAGGCTACTAACGGGATCGGGTGGTCAGGCTCGCTGACTTGGTTGATGCATGTCATCGATCCCAATTGCGTGGATCGATGCTCATAATATTAATCACTGGATTGTCTGTTCCAGACTCGATTATTTACCGACCGCCGTCATATAGCTTGACTATTGCTGAGTGCGGCGTTAAACAACAAACCAACCAACCAATTATGTTTTAATTAAATCTGTACAAATTGGAGGGAAGATCACCTGTAGATACCAGCAAAAGGCAGGGATTCGATCCCTCATTCATCGGATTCTGTGGACGCGTATCCGTGCACGTCTAAGCGGTGTTAGTAAACATCTAGATATGAGGAATGAGATATCAGGATAAACAGGAATAAGTATCATGGTCACGTTACCATTGGAAATAATATGACATAATATACATATATGTATATAACATTGTCTCTATGATATTAGTGTAGGCAGTAACTATTATAGACCCACGTATTAGGATGCGAGTTTTACATTATCGAATTCCACATTGCAAGAACTGCCACATGTCCAAGGGCTGGTCATCTTTAATAGTTTCCTATTTCAATAATTGACAAACACAGAGGAGATTTAGTTCAATTTGAGGCGGAAATGTTCCATTCGTATGGTTTGTTTCCGATTCTGCTACTGCATCTCTTATGCACGACCATACACCGTACCTAACTGCTACAGGATGCAGCTTATTGAGTTCGGAGTCCCGCTGTCTGAATACCAGATTGGATTATCTGATTGGTATCAAGAGATGGGACAGCGAGGGCAGTTGTTTATTAAATTTGACATCGTGACTTAGGCTTTGTATGCAGATGGAGGTGGAATCTGGTGTGTGTTTACTTCCCATATTCAGTTATGCAGCACTGGATACTAGAGACAGTACTGGCCTTCTTTATGCAGTGTCTGTGTTGTGTGAGACACACGTTGGTTAGGTACACGCTGCTGGGGTCTATTGGCATGTAACTATACACCGATGGCATCACTAAGGTCCACTCGGCTTATTCCGCACTATACATACTTCTATATATTCTATTTGTAACCGGGGGCACGGTGGCCCAGTCGTCTAAGGCGCCGCGATTCGCTGTGCAGAGTTGCGTCCCTTGGGCACGCCAGAAACCTATGACTGTGGGTTCGAATCCCAGTTCGCCCCGATTATGTATGTAGGTTTGTAAGCACCATAGCCGTGCTCGTGGGTTTCACCGAAGTGGTAAACGTCTGAGACCTGCATCACTTCGGCCCTTCCTCCCACATTAAACTGACACGCCGTGATATAACTGGAATAAACCCAACTCACTCACTCAATATTTGTAACCATCACCGCGATACGGACCCGAGTCGGCTCCACTCAGCTTCCAAGCAATGATATTGCATGAATTCATTGTAAACCGTGAACACATAATCCTGAGCGTATTTAATGGCCGTTTGTTTTGTTTTTAAATAGACTGACGATAATAACATAGATTGCCGAAATTTGCTTTTGGAAACAAAAAAAGTTTACGTTGATGGAAAGTTACACAGATGATAGTATTGTTCGACAGAACGAAACAAATGTAAATCGCTGCAAGTTGCTGCGTTTATGCTATGGTGCATGTTTAAACTGACGTTATGAAGAAACCCTGCAATGCATGATATCCACGTATGCACATGAGGGTATAAAACGATGGCATGGGAAACGAACAGAGAAATAACCGGGAGTATGGCCAAGCTAACTGCTGAGAGAGGACAATTTGTATGGTGCTGTAGGGGCCAAATTGTGCCCACGTCAAAAATCTCGCGCTGTACTAAGTTGATTCAGCGTTACAGGATGACTGGCAGAATTGACCCCGCGTCAGACTTATTTTATCTCCACTAAGACACAATATACTGACTCCGAGACGACCAGTCCTTGTTTTAACCCCTTAATACCGAACGTCAGGCAGGGTAACAACAAGTACCACGCTACACATGTATGTATTTTGGTATGACGCGGCCGGAGAACGAACCCCAGACCTTCCTCTCTCCGGGCGCATGCTGTTCGACCAGACGATGGAGGCAAGTTGTGGTGCGGATTCCAAGATGTTCCTGTGTACTGCACAGGCCACGATGCCCCTGTCTACTGCACAGACAACGATGATGTCTACTACACAAACCACGATGATCCTGAGTGTCTACTGCACAGACCACGATGTTCCTGTCTACTGCACAGACCACGATGTTCTTGTCAACTGCACAGACCACGATGTTCCTGTCTACTGCACAGACCACGATGTTCTTGTCAACTGCACAGACCACGATGCATATGCTTCTGTTTACTGCACAAACCACGATGCTTCTGTCTACTGCACAGACCACGATGTTCTTGTCAACTGCACAGACCACGATGTTCCTATCTACTGCACAGACCACGATGTTCTTGTAAACTGCACAGACCACGATGTTCCTATCTACTGCACAGACCACGATGTTCTTGTCAACTGCACAGACCACGATGTTCCTATCTACTGCACAGACCACGATGTTCTTGTCAACTGCACAGACCACGATGTTCCTATCTACTGCACAGACAACGATGTTCTTGTAAACTGCACAGACCACGATGTTCCTATCTACTGCACAGACAACGATGATGTCTACTACACAGACCACGACGTTCCTATCTATTGCATATACCACGATGTTCCCGTCAACTGCACCGACCACGATGCTTGTCAACTGCACAGACCACGTTGTTCCTTTCTACTGCACAGACCACGATGTTCTTGTCAACTGCACAAACCACGATGCTTCTGTCTACTGCACAGACCACGATGTTCCTGTCTACTGCACAGACCACGATGTTCTTGTCAACTGCACAGACCACGATGTTCCTATCTACTGCACAGACCACGATGTTCTTGTCAACTGCACAGACCACGATGTTCCTATCTACTGCACAGACCACGATGTTCTTGTCAACTGCACAGACCACGATGTTCCTATCTACTGCACAGACCACGATGTTCTTGTAAACTGCACAGACCACGATGCATATGCTTCTGTTTACTGCACAAACCACGATGCTTCTGTTTACTGCACAGACCACGATGCTTCTGTCTACTGCACAGACCACGATGTTCCTGTCAACTGCACAGACCACGATGCCCCTGTCTACTGCACAGACAACGATGATGTCTACTACACAGGCCACGACGTTCCTATCTATTGCACATACCACGATGTTCCCGTCAACTGCACCGACCACGATGCTTCTGTCTACTGCACAGACCAAGATGCTTCTGACTACTGCACAGACCAAGATGCTTCTGTCTACTGCACAGACCACGATGTTCCTATCTACTGCACCGACCACGATGTTCCTTTCTACTTCACAGACAGTCGTTCATCGTTTCGAACAAAACGCCATTGGAGTGTCTGGCGTCATGACGTGATTTCGCGAACAAGCTGCCTGTGATGTAAATATGGCTGAAATTATTCCCGAAACACATACAACATTATCGAGATTCAACGATCATCTATAACTGTGTTGGCTGACATCTTAATTATAATCTTGACAGGAGCACGTCATTGCCCGAGAGCACTATCCTGATGGTATGTAACTGACACGAACCAGAGACTCTGTCTATCCAGAGAAACGAAATCAAAACTCAGGCATATTGGAATTCAATGGTAAACATCCAAATCACTGACTTCAAAAAATAAATCAATTATTCATCTTCGATTATACGATTGATTATATTTCAATTATATTATGACACATGCCCTGGAAGAATTTGCAGCACCGTTCCGTCTTCAGCCTGGCTCAAATGACACAGTGCATCAACCTAGATGCATAGTCAAAAGGCATTCAACTTTCACCGCCATGTTAGACATCATCTGTAGTCTCTACGATCTTTCCATCAGAAACAATACTTCGCCAAAGAACTGATTTTTTGTATAATTGCTTATAGCCATTAAAAGTTTGTTGGCCGTTGTGGACGATGTTGCAAGCCGTAACGTTAACAATCCATTAGGAGGGGCAAAGACATCATACATGAACATAACGCTTTGTTTTCTTCCAAAAATGGACAAAAATAAAATTGTTTTAATCAAATATAAATAATCTATTTGCCAACACCAAAAGTAATAAGTTAACAAGGGATGATTCAAATAAATTTATACTTTACGTCCGTATTTAAAGTTTTGTTTCAATGATATTATTTAACAATTGGTCGTCCAATCCTATAAACGATGTAGTAACAGTGGCCTTACAGTTAAAATGTTGCGGAGTGTGACATCTGTTCGTGTCTGATAAGAAAAACTGAGGCGACGGGAGAAGCTTTGCAGAGTTTCGTCTTTTAGACATCCTGGAATCTAAAAAACATGGAATCTGCCTGATTTCATTTTTTGTTTTGCCAGCAGGTATCCGAAGATTAAAATTATGAAAATATAAGTTTGTATTACTGTACAAACACCAGGAGAGAATGCGGTCAAAAAAAGTATACATCCAACTTCCATATACCATGTGCTACTTCAATGAAATATTCCTTGAGTCTGCATTTCTATGGTCACACAATCCTAGAAAGAGTTTGTCTTTGCAACGGCGACATGAAACCTATCCTTTACTGTGTGCTTCAGTTCTCTACTGGGGGCACGGGTGGCCTAGTCGTCTAAGGTGCTGCGATTCGCTGTGCAGAGTTGCGTCCCTTGGGCACGCAAGAAACCTATGATTGTGGGTTCGAATCCCGGTTCGCCCCGATTATGTTTCTAGGTTTGTAAGCACCATACCCGTGCTCGTGGGTTTCACCGAAGTGGTAAACGTCTGAGACCTGCATCACTGCGGGCTTTCCTCCCACATTAAGCTGACACGCCGTGATATAATTGGAATACTGTTAAAAGCGGCGTTACACCCAACTCACTCACTCACACACTCACTCAGTTCTCTACTTCAAAACCATACACTATTGATCCTGCTGTTGTAATTATATGGCAGTTGGCATTTGAGTACTATTTTAAGAGGACAAATAGGAAAATAACGAAATAAACAGTATCATTTTAATAATCTATCATTTTTAATTTCTGAAACATACAACCAATATACTTACGAAAACGACAGGGTATTTTACTATCATTGGTTGTGAACAAACATTAAATTTTATTTAAAAAAGGATTTATACAACAATAATTTGGTAATAAAACAATTCTTTCTAGTGTTAGACATCTACACTCCAACTTATAATGATATTCATCTACCACTGTACCTGTGTGACAGAGCCTGCAAACGACCCGTTTTTACTGGCAAAATTATCAAAATTGTACGAAATTATCATTTGGGGTAACAAAATATAATTTTCAAAGGAAACAACAGGTTTAATACAAGTATATACCTGTCCTTTTGAAGTTAAGGAACGCCTCCGTGGTCTAGTTGCAGAGCGTCCGCCCGGAGAGCGGAGGGTCAGGGGTTCGAACATACATGTACATGTACCAAAAGACGTCAAAAGATGGTACTTGTTGTTACCCTGCCTGGCGCTCGGCAATAAGGAGCTAAAACAAGGACTGGCTGGCTCGGAGTCAGAATACTGTATCTGTGTGGGACATTCGTGTTAAGCAGTGGCATGGTATCTCAGTGGGATGGCACTATGAAATTGGCATCAGTCCGGACTAGTACAAGCAGCCACACACACACACAGACACACACACACACACACACACACACACACACACACACACACACACACACACACACACACACACACACACACAGGTTCATGCACGTCGCTATATAAGTGCAATAATTTTGGAGGCGAAGTTAAACCCAATTTCACCTCACCTCACCTCACCTCACCTCACCTCACCTCACCTCACCTCACCTCACCTCACCTCACCTCACCTCACCTCACCTCACCTCACCTTTGAAGATAAGACAAGTCATGGTGTCAACTTTACTTCAGCATTTGATATTAATATTTCAAATTATTTCCACTTCAGTTTAGTTTATTTTGGTAGATATGATTTCCATAAACGCCAGGGTTTACAATACAATAAGAGTCATAGATTGGCTGAAAAGTACAAACTGTGCAAATATATGGGGTAATTTGAAAACCAGCTTAGTAGTATTCTCTGAGGACAATTACAACACCATCGCAGTAAACCCTTCACATTAAACACATTTACAACCACCAGTAGGACATGAAGTCATTGAGTGAATGGGTATATATTTAGCAATATTCTAGCAATATCACGGCGAGGACATCTGAACTGTGCTTCGTTTCGCGAACACCTGCTGTGTTATAAGTCGTATAATTTGCAGCGCTATTTTGCCTTTTACGCCTACGGGATCTGTTTCGGCGGAATCTAGACGGATTCTTCTCTGGCGTTGCCGTTTTATATCAAAATAACATATAAGAAATTGAAAAATATCATGTAGAATATAAAATGTATATGTTTAAATCGCAGCATGTGCGTGTTTCGTTCAGCGTGTAATAATCATTCTGACAATTTCATGTAAACAAATTAATGAATGGTCATTTCATTTTAAATAAACTGAATATATAACTTTACAAAAACTGATAACATTTTTCAACACGAGATACAAACATTTTTCAAAGAAAAGATAGTTGTTTTAAAATTGCTGTTGGTCGTTTGAATGACAGAATATTGAATATCGAGTATTCTCTCGCGTTAACTTTCAATATTGTATTCACACATTGTATCCATGTGGTGAGACTTACTTGTGGTATTTTAGTTTCAATTGATATGATGGCCCAATACAACAAATTCAGTTGCACTTAACTTTCTTGGATGGTCGTGGTTGTCTTCCACACTGCCGACGATGTCGTTGGCGGGGTAGACTCCCAGTGAACACATTTGGTAGTTTCAATTCCATACATGTAGTAAAGTATCACGTGCCTTCTGTCACGAGTATTTGGGTTGACTCTCATGTTAACTTTTGCGATTGCCATTTTGAAATGATTATCCATATCTGTCAGTCCCGTGAAGATTCCGGGGTAGAATAGGTCTTCAGCAACCCGTGCTTGCCGTGAAAGGTAACTATGCTTGTCGTAAAAGGCGACTAACGGGAACGGGTTGTTAGGCTCGCTGACTTGGTTAACGCTTGTCATTCATCGATCCCAATTGCGTGGATCGATGCTCATAATATTTATCCCTGGATTGTCTAGTCCAGACTCGATTATTTACAGACCGCCGTCATATAGCTGGAATATTGCTGAGTGTGGTACAAAACAACAAACCAACCAACCGTTTATGTCAGTACAAGCAATTTTAATTGATTGATTAATTGTTTTATGTTATGTAAACACAGTTCATACTTATCGTATTGCTGCCAACTCACTGATTGACCGTCATACTCAGACAGTGAGTGGTACTCATTTAAAACAGACCACAGCCAACAGACCATTGTACCGTGACCACTACTGATTTCGGGGACTAGGAAGGTCAGATCAAAAAGGGAGGTGAGAGGGTGTCTGGGAAATGTTGATGAAATTGACATGTCTATACTTCGCGCTGTGAAGACGGGGTTTAGAATTGTCCCGGGCATGTTACGATACTTAAAGAACCAACTCAAGCACATATGTCAATCGCTTTACACGTCCGTGTTTATTTGTCTGTAATGAGAAGACAAAGCCATGATCAAGATAGGTTGGTTGGTTGGTTAGTTTGTTGTTTAACTCCGCACTCAGCAATATTCCAGCTATATGACGGCGGTCTGTGAATCATCGAGTCAGGACCAGACAATTCAGTGATTAATATCATGAGCATCGATCCACGCAATTGGGATCGATGACATGCATCAACCAAGTCAGCGAGCCTGACCACCCGATCCCGTTAGTCGCCTTTTACGACAAGCATAGTCACCTTTTAGGGCTAGCATGGGTTGCTGAAGACCTATTCTACCCCGGAATCTTCACGGGTCTGATCAAGATAGGAGTGCATTCTTCTATGTGCCCTGTCTTTTAACGAAAAGCTTCCAACATCACGATCAATGTACGAACAACCATTCATACTTAATCGGACTAACTTCTATCCTTGATATCAGTAAATATGTTATTAATTCAGCCATTTTCTTCCATTTCACTTGGCAGAAGGCTACATTAGCAGTGAAAACGTCGCTGATTCCAATCCCGATGGCGACACGCGATTTTTATCGAGTTACACTATCATGAAATCAAATGAAAAAAATAAGTTCTGTCATGCCAAGTGGTGTCTAACTCAAACCTCAAAGACAAGGAAACCATGTTTAAAAAGAAATATGGTCTTGAGTGGTGGCGAGTAAATCAACTGTCTGAGAAGAAACTAGAGCACGTTCCTAGAGGGCGACGTCTCGGTCCTCTTTCATCCACGGCGAGACGATTCTTGTCTTGTTTTTTTCCTTGGAAGAACCCCTCTTTTCCCTTTCAGTCGGCAGTGTGTAAATATAATTAAGCCAAACTCTCACAGCGACAACTGAAACTGTCC